AGCTCTGAACTCAGAGTCAGATCTGATTCCAGTTCCCATTCTTCCACTAGCTCGCTTACTAATATCAATCAAGTCTCTCCACCCAGTTGGTTCTCAGTGTACAGCAGAGGTTGAGCTAGGTTGGGTTTTTAATTTCTGTGCTTTGGGGGTTTCAGAGCTTGGAGGGACGAAGAAGAGAAAGGCAAGGAGGTCCTGCTCACAAACGTGTAAAAACAGCCACTTGAAGCTTAGATTGGGATCTACACGAGGTTTTGTTTGAAAAAAAAGTGCTGCATTTACCCTCAGAGTAAATACCAATAATAAAATATAAGTCTGTTCCATTAGGTTCAGCTCCTCTTCCGGTTCTGAAATTTATGGTACCTGTATCCCTCACCCTCATTCCTCCACAGCATAGGGGAAGGAGCCTGGCCTGTGAATCAGACTTGTGGTTACTTGACCAAATAGTAACCTTTTAGTTGAACTAACTGTTCTTTAGAACAACTTCCGGTTTTATTACCTGTGGTTCCAAGCTACTGTGTGCCCAGTTTCTCTTGTGGTAGAACTACAAATATTGAAGTGGAATGTATTTCTTAAACAAGGATAATAGTTAAACTAAAGTTCAGTGTTGATAGCACATGACTCCCGTGAGCATTCTTTACAGAAAATAAGAGCTGATTCAACTTTTACTTTAAATTTTCACTCTAATATAGAATATTAGTTATATGTATAGTTAATCTAAAAATAGAACTTTCAAGGATTTTTTGTTTTTAGATTGGAAAATATAGTTTATTTAGAAAGTAAATTAGAGAGAGAAAGAAGATTGACCTCCCCAAGGTAGGGGAGGGGGCCAAAGCTAAGAAAACACGGTAGCCACAGCCCAAAGAACACATAGCCTGGCCAGTGCTTAACAAAACAATGGCGTTTTAAAGATTTCTGGCGTTTTAAAGATTACCTCCTACTGAAGTAACCAGACAGGCAAACAGTGGTTTGGAAATTCATAGCATAAGTGGTTCATACATGAATCACTGAAGGACATATGTGCTCATTAACATTCCATTGTTTAAGCTATTCTGAATTTCAGGGATTAGTGTTGAGGGTAAACTGAATTTCATATGGTGACTTATGTTTTGTGACTACTATACAAATTCTGTTAAAAGGAACTTACTTGATTAACAAATTCTATTAAATTACACATAAAATAGCTATTAAAAGACAGGGGACTACTATTTTTCTCCTTTTTTTTTTTTTAATAAAGAGAATAATTGCCATTCCTACTCCTCACTTCCACCAACCAAATAATCTATCATTGTCTTCTCAAAAAGTTATGACTATGGGGAATTGCTAAAGGAATGGCATCATAGGATACAATGATTCATTAGGATAAGCAAAAATAGGCAGGTAGCTGGAGCAGAGGAACATATATAGTAAGTACTGTCAGCAAATAGACTCCCCTCCAAAAAAATTCCAGAAAGAGTTAGATCAGCATTTAGTCCTTAGGAGGGCAGAGGCAAAGGAAGAAATGTCCAAAAGATAAATGGAAAGAGTACCAACCAAAGCCCGTTGAATTCCAGAATTCTTTTCTAGGCTGCCTGGGCACATAGGAATAGGTTTGATTTGCTTAGCCTAGGCTTCTCAGCCTCAGCACTGTTGGCATTAGGATTGGATGATTCTTTGTTGTGTGAGTTGTCCTGTGCATTGTAGGGTGTTCAGCAGCTTCCTTGGCCTCTACCCAGTAGATACAGTGACAACTCCCTCCAGGTATTGCCTGATGCCTCCCGGATGGCGGAATAGCTCCCAGTTGAGAACCTCCTTAGAGCACTGGTTTGTGTGGCTAGCTACACTTCACCTTACTATTTGTGGAGCAGAGAACCTGATATCTATTTAAGTGTATTTCACACCTCCTACTGAAGTATGTTCCAGGTTCCAAGTGATCAATTCACGATGAACTTTGGTAACACAGCTTATTTGTATATGAGAAACATGTAGTTTGTCTGTGTTCTCACTCCAAATATATAGTAAACACTAATGAGAGACTGAAAATGATACTGAAAGATGTAGTTGTGACTTGTCAAATGCATTTTGTAGATGTTGTGTATCTCCTTTTTGCATTGGTTTTTTATTTTTTCAAAATACTTCATTTATGTTTGGTGTCACAATGATTATTGCATTTTTTAAAATCTTTTCATGAAGAAGGAGCAAAAAACTAGTAAATATTAGTATGACAAAAGGGCTGACTTAGAATATTATTTAGTTTTTTGCCAACTAGGATTTATCCAATAACATGGCTGAGGTGAGCAAAAATCTGAGTCCTAATAAAATGGTTCTAAATCTCAAAAGCTTAGGTGAAGATAACATTGGACATTTCCTTTTATTAAAGTCATCACAAGGCTTGTAAAGAACCTTGTCTGAGAGTCAAAAAAAAAATGGCCCTGGTTTGGCCTCTTCTTCTCATGAACTTTGTGACTTAGAAAAATCACTTCACCTCTCTTGGTTTACAGATTCATCTGTGGAATCTAGATAGCCTTCCCAGACTGGGCCAGCTCTAATGTAGTTTCTGAGTTTTAAAAAATATGTTTATGAATTATGAAATTAAAATTATTTCTGAATTTAAATCTGTTATGATTTAAAAGTATTGAGACCAAAAGGGAGAAAATAGGCTAGAAAATGAACAAGGTATAAATTTCATTAAAAGATGATTGAAAATAAACTGATCTATTAAATTAAGCTGTGTATTATATAAAATAGAAAGAGCTATCCATTCTGTGCTAACATTGACTACCTATAGACTGTAAGAAGTGGTTGTTGTGGGTAACCACATTTGCCCTCGACAGTACTGCAGAAGGAATATTTAAAAGTTAAGAAAGCCCAGATTGTCCCTTTGACAATGCTGGAACTGAAAACCAAACTGTCAGAATATTTTTTTCTGCTTCCACTTTGTATAAAAAGATTGTTCCGACATCAAATTATGGGAAATAAATCTCATGGTCGGTCATCTCTGTAAAACCATTTAATTGGCTCTGGCTAGTACAGTCTGTGAGTTTTTTAAACACAGTAGAGACATATTTTCAAATAGCAATGTCATTTTTATTATATAAATCAACTCACTCACTCAGCAAATGCAGTGTCCTATTCTAATGGTGTATTTTATTGGTAAAGTACAGATTTTTAGATGTTCTACAGGCAGTTCTGCAGCTGGGTGTGAGAAAATATTCCATTCTAATTCCTGAAATAATTACTTCATCTCCTACAGTAACAAATATTTTTTCATACTTTTCAGTTAATATGGAGAGCTTCAAATGTTGTCATTTATTTTAAAGTTAAATAACTCCTTTTTAAATTTAGCTATACTATTTGACAACCATCATTCAGAACAGTGACCAGAATAATAAAAAATAACTCTCCTTTCCTGAATGCTTTTATATTTTTTTCCTGCATTTTAATTGCTTTGCTAAATTACATACATAATATCTGATGCTTCTAACCATTTTGAGATTGTTGATGAAAGGTATATGGGGAAAGGAGAGCTCATTTGGAAATTTGTCTCTAAAAGGTAGCCACTGAATTGTATCAGATATATTGTCAGGTTTCTCCTTTCTCTTATTTCATTGATGATAGGCCCCTGAGGATGATCATCATTTTTTTGGCTATTGGCTTATTTATTTTGCGTGCAGACTGACACTTAAAGGTTTAAACAGCAATGCTCAAATTCGAAACCTAAATTTGTCTTAGAAGTATTATGGCAAAGTCACAAAGCGCCAATATTTTTTATATAAAGTGGAAATAATACTTCTTTTAAGAATACTATGGAGTATGTCTCATAGTAAGAGTTATGTTCATAAAAATATTAAATATCATTGCTAAATAATAGGATTTGACCAAATTATCTTAGCATCTCTGTTTCTGTTATATAAAATTGCAATAGTTGGATCTGTACAAATTTAAAGAACAGAACTCAGTCTTTCATTTACTGTTCTATGTTATTCTATGTTATTAATAGGGCCAAAGGAAAGCGATCTTTTGGGAAAGAAGACTCAAAGATAAAAAGGAGGAAAAGAAAATAGGATTAATGTCCAAAATCATGCAAATTGTTGTGCTCTGACAATTCAGTTGGAATTTAAACTCTACTTAGTGAAATAGTGCTATCTCATAAGCAAAAGTGAAAGCTAATTTTTTCTGCTTCTGACAGGGCACATATCTTATAACTGTATGAATTCAAAAACACTAAATAATGGGGTAGCAGCACTCAGTAAGAAACCAGCATGGCTTTGGCTACATTTCATTGCTTCTGAATCTTTTTCAAATATTATAATTAGCTGTGCTTTTTCTGTTTAGTCTGCTTATCTTAATTTCCCTGTGCTATTCCTTGTAGGTCTACTTCCTCAGTAAGAAAGCAAATGAAAGTGAAGTAGTTTGAGTCTTACTGTGGTGATCTCTCTGTCTTGCATGAAGCTTTCTTTCTGTGTAAATTGTCTTCCCTTCCTCGCCATTCCAGTCCTTTTTTTTTTTTCTGTCCATCGATGTAAGGGTCATAACAATGTTGGAGATTTCATCAGATGAGAACAGACAGCTATTGAACATTCTCTGGCTCTTCAGTTCCTTTTCCATATCCTACCAAAACCCTTTTTCATGTTAAGTAAATACTTAGAAATATTTAGGAGCCCAAACATTTAAGAAATTTGTGATTATAATGCTTGCTTTTTAGTGTTTTCACCACATTGTTTCAAGTCATTTGATGAGATAACCATGCTTTTATTTGAAAATAGTTTCCTTTTCTAGAATTAAATTTTATTCTAATCTTACCACTACAAATGACATTTTTCTGTTACCAAGGATCCTTGGTTAACAATGTCCTTTCCTTTTCTTTTTTCCCCTTCCCCTCGTCTTCCTCTGTTGTAAAAGTTGACAGATGTAAATCCTAGGGCCGCTTAAGAGGGTATATTAAAATGGGGGCATAAAGTGTATTTAACTTAGGAAACTTGGAGCTTTTCTGATTATGTAAAATCACTACTCTTTGCAAATAGGAGGAAGAAGGCACCTATGATCAAACTCTGGAGTTCCGTAGAGGAGGTGATGGCCAGCCAAGGCGATCTACTAGGCCAACCCAGCAGTTCTACCAACCTCCCCGGGCTCGGAACTGATCTGAAAAGGTAAAGTTAACGTTGCCAAGTAGTTTTAACATAAAGAAGGAGGCAAGTCATGTTAAATATGTAAATATGTAAATCCAGTTACTGATACTTCATAATAATATAGATAGGAAACTACTTAAAACTACTTTTCATTTATAACATGTTTAAGATCATACCATAGTTACACGCTACTTTTCTACCAAACTTTTCCCCACAGATGCTATTCGTAGTCCCCTTGTACTACTATACCTACTGTCTTCTGTTAGAGGTGATGACAGTCTATGAAATGACTTTGAGTTTGAAAGCAGGAAGGAGAAGAAGGAAAACAAAAGACTAAATAATCATCGTATGGATAACTGAGTTTATTTTTTGTTTAATTAATTTCAGTACTTTTTAAGAAAGAGGAAGTATTTTATAGTATCTTCAGGAATTGGAAGAAGACAATATGATTACTTACTGAAATGTAATTTTGGGGTCATATGCTGTCAGTCCAGAAGCTTTCATCTTAAAGTTTCATAAAGAAAATTGCTGTGTGAGAATCATCTTCAATAGGAAAGAAGAAAAATATAACAAACAAGCCAGAAAATTATGGGCCCCACTCTAAGGCATTTCATGCCAGTGAACAAAGATCTTATTTCTTAATGTATTTTTGGAAGGAAATACTTTTGCCATCTTTGGTAACATTTCTGTTTTTTAAAATAATGTAAATGCTTCTGAGCATTTTTTAAAAAATCAGTTTTCTCATTCCAGCTTTTGTTATATATCACGCTAAAGGCTATTTTGGACTTAACTGTATTTTTTTTTTTCCTATCTTAGACTATTTTGGACTTAACTACATCTTTCTGCTATCTTAGTAGCAAGATCACTGAGACTTTTTTTTCGAAATTGTACTCAATTCCTCATTTCAGCCATTCATTCTTCTAAGACTGTTACCCATATTGTATTTTTCCCTGATAAGTGACTCTCTCAGTTTTCAAACCAGCTGTGGCTGTTGAGCCCTTGAAATGTAGCTGGTCTGAACTGAGATGTGGTATAAGTAAAAACTACATACCAGATTTCAAAGATTTAGGGGAAAAAAGTTAAAATATCTCATTAATAATTTTATATTGATTACATGTAGAAATGATAATATTTTTAATCTATTGGGTTAAATAAAATGTATTAAAATTAACTTCACCTATTTTTACTTTTTTAATGTGACTACTAGAAAATTAAAAATTACATATGTGTCTTGTGTGATATTTCTGCTGCACAGCACTGTCCTAGAAGCTATCTTCTTAGTTTCCCCAGAGTTCCTTCATTGGTTAAGAATTAGTTCTTCCATCCTAAGTAATTTTCTCATTTGTTTTCTAACCCTCAGCTTCTTGTGTGATAGTCTGCCTAGTGCTAATTGACTTCTGAATTACTGGAGCAAACCAGTGTAGTACCTTTTTCCTTTTATCATTGTCTTTTCTTTCTACCTAATACAAGGTCATCAAGTAAACAATCGAGACCTACTGTCCATGGTATCACAGAAGAGCTACTTCTTCATTGGGGTGTTTTTCTTGTAGCTTGTAAGAACTGGTTTTTCAGTTAGTACCCATGACTATTCGGTTAATGCCCATGATTAAAAAGAATCAAAGTATATGTAAGGACTTCAGCAACTTCACATTGTACAAGATTGAACATACATTTGTAAAATAAGTTCAGTGTACTTAAAATTAAATCACTTTTAAAGTTGAATGAAACAGAATTCCCTCTTAGCTTGCCATATATAACAGACCTACGGCTAGTTTCATACTAAATGGGGAAAAATTGAAAGTCTTTCCTTTAATATCTGGGACAAAACAGAGATGTCCATTTTAACCACTTTTTTTTTTTTTGAGTTGGAGTCTCACTCCGTCGCCCAGACTGAATACAGCAGCACACTCATCGCCACCCCAAGCGTCGACCTGCTGGGCTCTGGTGATCCTTCCACCTCAGCTTTCCAAGTAGCCGGAACTACAGGCGTGTGCTACCATGCCCGGCTAATTTTTGATTTATTATAGAGACAAGGTCTCGCCAAGTTGCCCAGGCTGGTCTCGAACCTGTGGGCTCAGGCAATCCATTTGCCTCAGCCTCCCAAGGTGCTGGGATTACAGGTTGAGCCACTGAGCCTGGCCCCATTTTAACCACTTTTATTCAACATAATAGTAGAAGTCCTAGCCAGAGCAGTTAGACAAGAGAAAGAAACAAAGGGCATTCAAATTGGACATGAAGAAGTCAAATTATACTTTTTAGCAGATGATGCAATCTTATATTTAGGAAAATCTAAAGACTCCATCAAAAAACAATTAGGACTGATAAACCAATTCAGTAAAGTTACAGGATACAAAATCAACTTACAAAAATCAGTAGCATTCCATATGCCAACAGCAAACAATCTGAAAAAGAAATCAAGAAAGTAATCTCATTTACAATAGCTAGAAATAAAATATATATAGGAAAAAATTTAAACAGGTGAAAGCTCTATACAATGAAAACTATAAAACATTGAGAAAAGAAATTGAAGAGGACACAAAAATCAAAAGATATTCCATGTGTGTGGATTAGAAGAATCAATATTGTTAAAATGACAGTAATATCCAAAGCATTCTACAGATTCAATACAACTTCTATCAAAATACTAATGATATCCTTCACAGAAGTAGAAAAAATAATCTTAAAATTTATATGGAAATATAAAAGGTCCAGAAGCCAAAGCAATCCTGAACAAAAAGAAGAAAGCTGGAAGTATCAGACTACCTAACTTCATGTTATACTACAAAGCTATAATAAAACAGCATAGCACTGGTATAAAAACAGGCACATAGACCAGTGGAACAGAATGGGGAACCCAGAAATACGTGCATGTATTTACAGTCAACTCATTTCCCCAAAGATGCCAAGAATGTACATTGGGGAAAAGACAGCTGCTTTAATGATGCTGGGAAAACTGGATATCCATATACAGAAGAATGAAACTAAACCCTTATCTCTCACCGTATACAAAAATCAAATCAAAATGGATTACAGACTTAAATTTAAGACCTGAAACTATGAAACTGCTAGGAGAAAGCATTGGAGAAACTCTCCAAGACATTGATCTGGGCAAAGATTGCTTGAATGACCAGAAAACACAGGCAACCAAAGCAAAAATAGACAAATTGAATCATATCAAGCTAAAAAGCAGAGGAAATAATCAACAAAGTAAAGAAACAACCCACAGAATGGAAGAAACTATTTGCTAACTACATCTGACAAGGGGTTAATAATCAGACTATATAAGGAGTTCAAAAATCTCAATAGTAAAATAAAATAAATAATCCAATCCTTTAAATAATCCAATCTTTTAAACAAAAGATCTGAACAGACATTTCTCAGAAGAAGACATACAAATGGGCAACAAGGATATGAAAAAAGGCTCAACATCACTAATTATCGGATGCAAACTACAACTACAAGGAGATGTTATCTCACGGCAGTTAAAATGGCTTTTGTCAAAAAGACAGGTAATAACTGATCCCAAGGGGACCTCTCATATACTGTTGATGGGATTATAAATTAGTATAACCAGTATGGAAACCAGTATGGAGGTTCTGAAAAAACTAAAAACAGGACTTCTATTTGATGCAGGAATCCCATTGCTGTATATATATTAAAAAGAAAGGAAATCAGTGTGTTTGAGGTCTTTTAAGTTGCCTCACACAAAGTTTTAAGTTGAGATCAGAGGTTGTAGACACCCTGATTGATCTAGGACAGTGGTTGTCTGACTGTGAACTGCAGGACTTGGGGTTTCTTTGGATGTTGTCTTTGGGGCTGTTGAAGGCCGACAACATTGAGCAGGACTGGAAGGAGAGAGGAGGCAGCGAGGGGAGGGAGAATACAGCCAGATGGGAGCAGCTCTCAGTCCTCCTTGACCCTTCTGGAGTTTTTTGAAAATATCTCAAATCTCATATATTAGGTTTCCATGGGAACTTCCATGAAGAATAATATGTTGCTTGAATATAAATCGGACATAGCTCTGAGGTCACTGTAGTTTATCCATGTCACGTAGTATAATGTTCCTAATCAATTAAGCACACAATCTTCATGGTTTTCTGTGTTCTGAGTTAAAATTTCCATCTTAAGTCTTGCTTTGGATTGCACTATTGAGATGGAAATATGTGACACAGAAATTTTGGATTCCTGACAACAATAAGAAAATTACTTGGGGGACATAATAGTATCACTAAAAAACCTTTCACTAAAAATTCACCCTAAAAATTAAATAAGCAGCCAGGCTCGGTGGCTCAGCCTGTAATCCCGCGCTTTTGGGAGGCTGAGGTGAGTGGATTGCCTGAGCCCGTGGGTTCGAGACCCGCCTGGGCAGCGAGACCTCATCTCTACAATAAATCAAAAAATCAGCTGGGCGGGGTAGCACATGCCTATAATTCCGGCTACTTGAAAGGCTGAGGCGGAAGGATTGCTGGAGCCCAGCAGGTCGAGGCTGCGGTGGCCGGGAGCAGCCACTGCACTCCAGTCCGGGCGACAGAGTGAGACTCCAACTCAAAACAAAACAAAACAAAACAAAATTAAATAAGTAAGACATGTAATCTTGGTTGAAAAAAATTATTTCTTATTTTTGCATTTTGATTTGTGTATGTTTTAAAAGACCATGAAGTAGAATGAAATACCTCATTTGAGGTACTATCTTTGAACGGTAGATTCAACGATAATAAAAATTATGCTTTTTACTTTTGTTATACAATTGAATATATTCTTCTTGAGAGAAAAGATACTTGTTATTTCCTCCTTCCTGGTTTTCATTAACTTAAACAGCTAAAAAAAAAGATACACATTGTAGCCAGCCATTTGACTTCCAGCAAATATAAGCATGAATTCTAATAAATGCTGGACATTTTCCAAGGTTTGTTATCTAAAATTATTCAGGATAGTGAGAAACACTTAAGGTGCTTTCTATTATTGCTTTTGAAAGAGATAATTTCAAAGTTACAGTTTTTATTTTTATGTTTTGAGTACTTTGCTAGGTGATGAATAACATAATAACTGTTCAGTAAGTGTTTGTTAAATCAGTATGTCTTGATAAAGTTTTAGATATGTAATTTGCACATTCTTTGCATTTTTTTCAAGGCCCTCACACATCCCCTGTCCACCCCCATACATGTCCTCTTTGTGGAGAGAATTGGATTCCACTTGAGCCTGGTACTAAGGATAGCATCAGTGACTAACAAGGTGGGAGATGCTTAGGAGTCAGGGCTTGGTGACAGGAGGAGGTCTCGGGGCAATTGGGGAAATAGGCCCAAATCTGCGAAAAGTGATGACAAGTCAGATCTGAGACACTGTCATAATTGGTATAGACAACTTAGAAATATGAGTATATATAGAATAGGGAAATGATACAATTCTCTAGTCAGGGAAATTGACCACAACTTCGTGCATTTGGAAAGGTTTCTGACATGCTTGGAGTCAGAGGAATTAGGTACCAATTAGTGGAAGCGGCCCTTAGATATGAAGTTTAAGCTCCATGTTCTTGAAAGGGTGGGGTTCTCTGAAGACAAGGTAAAGGCCGAGGAAGGCTTAGAGGGGAAAGCAGAGTCCATAGCATGTGGCTCTCTGTGAGTACAGTAGAGTGTGTGACCCAGTATGATGAGTGTTACAAATACTTGATGACAGTACAGTGTAGGCTTCAGATACATTAAGGATTTAAATTTGATGTGTTTGGTGCTGTCATGAATTTCTTAATAAGAGAGTGATATGATCCAAATTGAGTTTAGGAAATATTGCTGTTTGATATAGGATGAATTGCAGCACTGGGATGGAAAGAATCTAAGAAGCTCCTGCACTGGTCCACTCGAAGGGTGGTTAGTCTTATGTTCTGCTGTGAACAAAGAGAGATGGCAGAAGGCCAAGTAGGAAGAGTGTGTAAGACAGACTGGTAGGCAGCTCCCGAGTGTCACAGAGGTCAAGGCTCAGCATGTGAGACAGTGCAAGAAATGTTGACTCACTTTGAACCTCGTTTCTGATTTCTTACTTGTTTGATGAAAGAATGATCTTCACAGTTCCACATATTAGCCAGAAACTTTGAAACCAGTAGCTGAGTACAGACTACTGCATAAATACAGTGACTTTATTTTCAAAGGTCTGTTTTTTAACACCATTTTAGCTAATAAAAGATGTGTTTTTAAATGTTGAATTTTTGACAAGCTGATTCAGCATCTCATTGCAAAGTTTTAAAAATCAAGGTCAAGGAAATAATAGCTGTAAAGTTAGCTATTACATGACCCTCTGAAGGCAGAGGACAGGCGTCATGTGAAGATAATATAGTATTTAAAGCTCTTCAGTTTCTAAGCAGGAGACTGCTTGTTTTGGAGACTTGCGAGCTGCCTGAATGCAGTGTAGAGACTCCACTATGCCCTGCCCAAGCAGTCTGTCATACATGAGACTGAAATAGGACTGAGCAAATAAGTCTCTCACCATCTACACCAACTTTTCTGTCATCACCACCCAAAGTGGTTCAACTAGAGTGAGACCTAGTAGATGTGGGGAGCAGGTAGGGGAGGTTACAGGCCAAAATACATGCCCTGTGTGGGACAGAGGTGTTCACAGGAAGAGTTGAGGTGGATAGGAGAGGGAAAGAAGTGGCTCACTGACAGACTTGTTAGGTCATACTCCGTTAGAAACTTCAGACTTGGTAGGACATCCTCTGTAAGAACTTCAGACTTCCTAAGTCATCCTCTTTTAGAAACCTCAGCCTTCCTAGGACATCCTTTTTTAGGAATAGCAGACTTCCTAGGTCATCCTCTGTTAGAAACCTCAGACTTGCAATGTCATCCTTTGTTATAAATCAAACAGTTAATCCAAATTCCTGAAATCAATATGCTAGCAGTAAGGGGTATAACAGTGACAGAAAGGCACTTTACTGATTTCTAAAAGAAAAGTTTTTTTTTGATTTTTGCTTTTTTTGTTTATTGCTTTATAGGGATTAATTTACAAATTAGACAGCAATATCCAAAGTTTATTCTACTTGAGATCTATTGATATTTATGCAAACATTTTACATTTACAGATAAGTTTCAATAGAAGTGTCTCTTAACAAAGAATGGAAGAGTTAATTTGAAGGTTCAACTTCATTTTCCTCCTTTTTTTTTTTTTTAAATAGAGTCTTTGTGAAGAAAGGAGCCCTTGACTGAAACGTCCTGGTCAAAACCTGTTGACAGACTCTCTCTACTTTCTCTTCAGAGTAAGAAGCAGCCGTGGTGGATTTTATTTGAAGAAGGAAAAAGATTCAACTGGCATAAAGAATGGGAAAAAATACTTAGTTAAATAAAGCAAATACTTTTGCAAATGAAAGGAAACATTTTTTTCTTTTCATCAATAAAACTATTGTGCTATTATATACATTGTTTTACTGTATATTTTATTTGCCTGATATCGTTCTTTCATCTGGTATTGACCCATACTAATTGCCTTTTGTAGAATAACAGTTAAGGCATGCTGAAGCCTCCCTCTATAATTACAGAGTAAACTGACTTACACAGCTCGCCACATTTCTCACAAATCAATCTGAAGCCAAATAGCAGTTCTTAGTGTGGCAGTAGCTGCTAAATATGATAGCAAAAATATTTAAAGCTTGAGTATATTGTTTATAGCACTCTAGTAGCTTTTCCAAATGCGATTCAATTTTAAAAACAGATATCCCCTTCCTTATAAAATGTCCAGTGAAAATCCATCTCAAACTGCTTCAAGCATCAAAGGGAATTTTCTGGCTTACCTCACTGCTAGGAACACAATAGGTTTCAGGATTGGTCCAATTCAGTGGCTCAGAGAGACCATAAAAGACTAATTGTTTGCATCTCTCATTTCTCCTTTCTCTGGAATCACCTTCATCCGTGTGGCCACAAGATGACTTCCAGCGGCTCCCAGAGATGTCAAGTCCAGGGGTGAGGTTGGGGCCGCTTCCAGAAATGCACTCAAAAGAGTTTTCTCTTCAGACCACGTTTTCCTGTTTTAGGCTACTTTTCTACCTATGAGCCAGTCACTCCAGCAGGGTCTGTGGATTAACGTAGGTCTGATCCACGTTCCCCAGCCTTTGAAATGGAAGTGGATTGGAGGCAGAGGATATGCATCAGAAAGTCAGGTTCCTTGCTGACAGGAGAGGGAGGTGCTGGTGAAGCAACCAGACTGCCCATTACAGTGAAGAGGCAGACAGACACAGAAATGAGTTCTGAAAGTAATTTAGTACTGATTCTCTGTGCCTGTCTGTTAGATGGGGACAGTTATTATCCTAATTATTATACTAATGTTAAGCCTAAAATGTACTCAGCCTGTAATCCTGTGCCTTTGGGAGGCTGAGGTGAGTGGATTGCCTGAGCCCGAAGGTTCGAGACCCGCCTGGGCAGCGAGATCTCATCTCTACAATAAATCCAAAAATCAGCCGGGCGTGGTAGCACATGCCTGTAGTTCCGGCTACTCGGAAGGCTGAGGCGGAAAATCGCCGGAGCCCAGCAGGTCGAGGCTGCGGTGGCCGGGAGCGGCCACTGCACTCCAGTCTGGGCGACAGAGTGAGACTCCAACTCAAAAAAATAAATAAATAAAATCGACTCTCAGTATATGGCACTATGGTTGGCTAGTGGTATCATTACTCAATAGTCCCTAAGGACAGTCCCACGTGGCAATGTTTTATTTATATGTATGTGTGTGTGCAAATTTACCTGAAGACATTAAGAAAACTTCAAACTGGGCAGCAAGGGATGCCAGCCCATCTGTTCTACTGAAGGATACTGTTCTGATTCTGACAGGGCAAGATATAGTTGGCTAAACATATCAAAACGACACTCCTCTGTGGCCTTCTGTTAAGGGCAGCTGCAGGCCTGGATGTGTAGATGACCTCTGTCATAATACAATAACTGTTAGTATTTGTCAAGATGTTTTTTTGATGCCCAGCATGTGCCTAACGCTTTTTTGTTCGTTATTTCTTGTAATCATCACAGCTCTGTGAGGTAGGCATTACTGTCTCCATTCTACAGCTGAAGTAGCTGATATCCTTCAGAAAATTTAAGTCACCTATCTTGGGTCACAAAGTGGACATGTAAGAGTCAGGACTCAGAGCAGACAAGCTGTGGGTAGTTGGTCCCTTAAGGAAGACAGAACCCTACATTTCAGGAGTGTCTGAGGGAAGCTTCCCTCTTCTCCTCTCCTATTTTTTTGATTTCACTTTGGTTTTATTATGGATGTGTTCTGTCCTGTTCCTTATCACCTTAGGTTTGTTCCAGGTTATCCTTGCCATGGAATGTGAATCTTTAGGTTTTCCTCCTAGTTCCAGGGCAGATGCCTCCTCATCTCTCTGCTCCTCCCCCTCCTTCCTTCCTTCTCTTATTTAAAACCCCCGCTTTTTCCTTGAATTTCCATCATGACATTCTTGGCTCAAGTTCTTTTTTCAAAGAACAAAATGGTTTTAATACATTTCACAAATTAATGTTTGTACATTCAGTAAATATTTCCTGAGTGCTGTTTTCGGCAGTATGCTGCAAACAAGACCGATGTTTTCTCAAATTTCAAAAGGCTCGGGATCTAGCTCCATTTATCAATTTGTTTTAGTATCTGCATATTATCTTTTCATGTTCCTTTTCTTTATTATAAACTTCATTCTTCGATGTATTTTTGTTGACTTATTTTGCTGAAGTCTCAAAAATCATCCATTTGTAGTTTATTTTATATTCTTAATATTCAAAATGTTTTTAATTTTAAAATAATTCTTCACCTCTGGGCCCCGGGTATCAGTTTTCTAAAAAAAAAAAGTCCTCAAGGTATGAGGAAGCACCCAAAGTTAAATCTCTAAGCTTTTGTCACTTCCCCAAAGTAGAACCCAACTTGAAGGATGTTTAGTCCTGTTAATGATTTCTTTCCACCTGTAGCCCTTTTATTAAGATATTGTAGGAGCCGGGCTCAGTGGCTCAGCCTGTAATCCCACGCCTTTGGGAGGCTGAGGTGAGTGGATTGCCTGAACCCGAAGGTTCTGGACCCGCCTGGGCAACATGGTGAGACCTCATCTCTACAATAAATCAAAATGAGCTGGGCGTGGTAGCGCGTGCCTGTAGTTCCAGCTACTTGGAAGGCTGAGCGGAAGGATCGCCAGAGCCCAGCAGGTCGAGGCTGTGGTGGCCGAGAGCAGCCACTGCACTCCAGTCTGGGCGACAGAGTGAGACTCCAACTCAAAAAAATAAGATATTGTAGAAACAGCAATGGGCTAATAAACAGGGAGTTAAGAGGCCTTGAGAGATGCCTAAAGCCCTCTCTTTCAGAGCAAAGTACCTAATTTTGTCAATTATTTTGACCAGAGAATTCTCTCTTTCCTACCCACTTTCCCCCATTCTCTTTCCCTCCCTCCCTCACTAAGACTGGGAGAACTGTTTTTGTCCTGTTAAATGAAGAGTTTGTAGTTTGCCTTCTAGCTTTGGCCATAATGACAACACCCCAGCCTCATGCGATTCTCTCCTATCTCTAATGGTTACATCTCTTGTGGGCCTTTCTTGGAGACTCAGCACATCATGGCTAACCCCACACCTAGTTCAGCTGACTGCAAGGAGTAACCATGCAACAAAGAAAGAAAACATGACCAACACTGGTAAGACTTATGCTCCCACCTTGACTAGGCCAGAGTGGTCATAAGTCACACACAGAAAAGCAAAATCTAGTCCTGTATGTGAGCAAGTTAGGGTGTTGATGCATGTGCACGGCATGGAGAACTTTTACTAGGCCCTGTCTGTTATCCCCTTCTGGGATGGATGGATATATTTTGGCAGTTTTTCATGAGTAAAAAGCATGCGGGGATGTCTGTGATTCTTCCCTATCTCCCAAATTCTACAAGCATTTTTTGAAGTAAAGTTTTGAAAAATAAAATATTCATTAAGACAGTATGTTCGTATGAAAAAAGACAAGGGCACAGATATCAGAAAAGTTTTATATAAATAGGAAAGAGAATGAACTAATGGGAAGGAAAACTTGTTTTTTAAAAAAACTTAAAAAAAATTTTATGATGTTTTATTTCAATAGCTTTAGGGGGTACAAATACTTGGTTACATGGTTGCATCGTATACGGGTGAAGAGTCTGGGCTTTAAGTGTACCTACCACTCCCACGTGTGTGCCTTATACCCGTTAGGTGATTTTCCCTCTGTCCCTTCTCCTCCCCCGCTTCTGAGTCTCCATTATACCATTCTTTCTGCCTTTGCGTGTCCTTAGTTTAGCTTTCACTTATAAGTGACAATATTCTGTGTTTGGTTTTCTGTTCCTAAATTCACTTAGGATGATGTTCTCCATTTCCATCCAAGGTGCTGCAAATGATAGCATTTCATTTTTTTTGATAGCTGAATAATGTCCCATAGCATATGTTTACCACATTTTCATTATCCACTGATCAGCTGATGGACATTTAGGGTGATTCCACACCTTTGCAATTGTGAATTATGCTGTGATGAACATGCAGGTGCAGCTGTCTTTTTTATATGACTTCTGTTCCTTTGGATAGATACCTAGTAGTGGGATTGCTGGATCAAATGGGAGATCTACTTTTAGTTCTTTGAGAAATCTCCATACTAATTTTCATATATGTTGTACTAATTTACACTCCTACCAACAGTGTATTTGCATTCCCTTTTCTCATCTGTGCCAGCACCTGCTGATTTTTTGTTTTTAAACTTTTAATTTTTTTATTTTAAAGATGTAGGGTACAATTCAGGGTTAGGTATACAGATGGATATTTTTTTAAAAAAAATAACTGCCATTCTACTAGTGTAAGGCAATATCTCATTGCGGTTTTAATTTGCATTTCCCGATGATTAGTTATGCATTTCCCTGATGATTACTGATTTTTTCATCTGTTTGTTGGCCATTTGTATATCTCCATTGAGAGATGCCTGTTCATGTCATTTGCCCCCTTTTATTTTTATTTTTTTGAGGTACGCGCATGGCCACCCCAGCGTCGACCGGCTGGGGCTCAGGTGATCCTTCCACCTCAGCCTTCCTAGTAGCCGGAACTACAGGTGTGTGCACTACCATGCCCGGCTGATTTCTTTGATTTATTGTAGAGATTCGGTCTCGTCAAGTTGCCCAGGTTGTTCTTGAACCCGTGGGCTCAGGCAGTCCTCTCACCTTGGCCTCCCAGAGTGGTGGGATTACAGGCTTGAGCCACCGCGCCTGGCCATGTGCCCTCTTTTTCCCCTGAATTTTGTTTTCTTTTGGGGGCAGGACATGGGATGGAAAATTGTCACCTTATGGTATGCCCCCCTCCCAGGGAATATCCATTCTAATCTTCCTGGGGTTGTTTGTGGAACTTTTTCTTCTTGGAGCTGCTCCTGCTGCTAGCAGCCTCTTCTGGTCCACTGGTGACTGGCTCTTCC